TTTTATTGTTAAATAAATATTAAATAAACATTAAAAAAATGTTATATAAATATTTTTCCTAAATCGTTATTTTAAATGTTTGATTAATGTAATACAAATATTAAATCAATATTAAATAAACGTTTCTTTAAACGTTTTAATTAATTAACGTTATTTTAAACGTTTTAATTAATGTCAAATAAACGTTAAATAAATGTTATATAAATATTCTTCTTAAATCTTTATTTTAAATGTTTTAACCACTTGATTAGCACGTGCGCCAAAAAACGCATCCGTGCCACAACTGGCACGTGCGCCAAAAATCGCGCACTTTATGCGAGAATTTTCAAATCACGATGCATTATTGTCTGTTTAATATGCACGGAAAATTCTTTCTTTTACATTGATTTGAGAACTAGGGTTATACTCCGGGGTCGTAATTCACATTACCAGCAAATGCGCAAAGGTTAACTACGTTTATATGTTTTAGAAATGTTTATTACAATTTGACTTAACAAACAATATTATAAAAGTATAATCTTAGTTCTCAAATCAATGTAAAAGAAAGAATTTTCCGTGCGTATTAAACAGACAATAATGCATCGTGATTTGAAAATTCTTTAATTTTTACATAAAATTAGGATTCCTTGATGTCAAAAACATAAGATTAGTAACCTTTTAAATTCAATAACATATTTCCAGCATAGAAGTAAGGAGAGTTTCTTCTCGCGTAAAGCACGCGACTTTTGGCGCGCGTGCCAGTTGTGGCACGGACAGGGATGCGCCTTTTGGCATGCCAGTCAAGTGATTAATAAATGTTATATGAACGTTTAATAAATATTAAATAAATATTATTTTTACAATATACTGTACAATGTAATATCAATGAAAAATAAATATTTAAAAAACGTTTAAAATTGTTTGATTGAATAAACGTCTTTTTTCCACTCTGTTCCAGAATTCAACTGCTTTTATTTTATAATTTAATTTTATATTTCCACCTTCATTATCCACAATACAAACTTTATCTTTATAATTATTTTCATAATTATCTTCTTCAGCATCAATATCATACATGTCCACAAATTGAACATCGTGCGGTTCCAATGGATCGTTAAAATCAAGTTCCCAGTTGTATTCAATCTCAACATTATCATTTATGGCATTTTTTATTAGATCGGAAATGGCATCATGAAGTTCAACTTTATAGTGATTAACAGGTGAGACAGCAAAATTTGTAATACTAAACGTTGCGATTAATAAATTTATAACATTTGCTATATTTATGCTTGGTATTCTAACATCACCTATTATGTCACCAGCACAAAAATATTGTCTTCTGTAAGGAGTTAGTTGAAATCACCTCTTCGATTTATTTTATATATAACATTTAAATTAGAAACCCAAAATCAAAATAAATTTTATTTAATTTGAATCAAACGGTAATTGTTCAAATAACGTCAGACTATGAATAAAGTGCAGAAACGTACAGCTTTTATATTAAAAGGAAGATAATATTTTAATAAATATTATAGCATGATGTTTAACAAAGATCAAATGATAGACTGATATTAAAGTAAAAAATAATTGATACAAAAAGTTTACGCGATAGAAAAATAATATGATTAAATATACAGGGTGTCCCGAAATTACCGGATGTTATTTTAATGGCAGATTCTTTAGAACATTTTAAAACAAAAACTTTCATACAAAAATATCGAGGCTGTAATAGTTTTCAAATGAGAAGCGATTATATTTCACCAATAACAGGGCTGAGATTTCGCGCGCTCAAGCACGTCGAAATAATAAGTAATAAAGGTGCCACACGCCGTATAGAATAGTGGACACCTTCATGGTAATAATTGATCGAAACTTTGACAGATTAAGTTGAAATATGTCATTTTTACTTGAATCATATTTAAGATGTCTTACAACTATTATTCGTATAAAAAATATACTAATGCAATGCGTAGAGAAGCGACAAAACATATGACAATGTTATTGTAAATTTATACAATGATCATAATATCGTAAAAAAAGTGATATTCATAGGAGCACCTTTATCACTTGTCATTTCGACGTGCTTGAGCGCGCGAAATCTCAGCCCTGTTATTGGTGAAATATAATCGCTTCCCGTTTGAAATCTATTATAGCCTTGACATTTTTGTATGAAAGTTTTCGTTTCAAAATGTTCTAAAGAATCTGCCATTAAAATAACATCCGATAGTTTCGGGACACCCTGTATTTGTATGTATGTGTGTATGCGCGTACGCGTAATAGGTTTTCATTTTCGTTATCGTGTATTGCGAGACCTTACGAAGAAAAGAAAAAAAGAGATAAGTCGTTATGAAATAGAGAGGGAATAAGATTAGTATAGGTAACGTGCGTCTTTATTTTATTTCTCAAGAATTACTTCCCGCAACATAACTTTTGCCATACATGGTTGAATTTGGCGTAACATAAGCTTTAATAAAACTTGAAATTTTTTTTTAAATATTAAAAAAACAATGAGTGGTGAGGGTGTTTTGAAAAATATTATCAGTTTTTTAAATCCAGATACGCCATTGTAAAGTACATAAAATATGCAGCCATAAAACTTTTGTTCAAACATTTTTTTCATATTTCTTTTAATTTCGATTATATTCGCTTCAAAAT